TAAATAGGTAATATAAAAAAGTTATACATGTAGCCAATTGTATGCTCTCCTGTAGTAGTTTATTGAACCACAATACCGATAAGTGATTAATAAAAGTCAAAAGACTAAAGAGGTCACCTTAATACCAAAAAAAAAAAATCAAGATCATTTAATAATATGTAAATATTATAAAAACATATAGAAAAATATAAAAAATACATTAGTTAACTTGGTATAAATAAAGCTATCAAGTAAAATCAAAACAGAAACAAACAAAAATCAACTTAAAAAGATATTTTAAAACATATAATTAAATAATAAAATTAAAATAAGATAAGAATTAATCAAAAATCTAGTACAAAAGAAAACAGTAAACAATTACAGATCAAATAAATAAATAAAAAATGAATAATAGATAAATAACAGAAAAAAAATCTGCTATTATTTTATCTTATATCTGCCAAATAATAATAGTATAACAGCAGCATAACAGCAGAATAACAATAAAATAATAGAAGGTTTGTTAATATAAGTAGCATAATAGTAACATAATAACAAAATAATAGAACAGTTCTATTATTTTACTTTTAGTTACAAAGGCTAAAAGTAAAATAATAGAACTGTTCTATTATTTTGTTATTATGTTACTATTATGTTACTCATATCGACAAACCTTCTATTATTTTACTGTTATTTTGTTGTTATGCTGCTGTTATGCTGCCATTATTTGGCAGATATAAGGTAAAATAATAACAGATAATTTTTCTGTTATTTATCTATTATTTACTCTTTATTTATTTATTCAATCTGTAAATTGCAAAACATTTTACAATCTTTTAAAAAAACAAAAAAATTTAGTAACATAACAATTAATATATTTTAAAATAACTTTTATGAAAATATATGAAAAAATAATATGAGACCTTCATTCAATAAAAAAGAAATAGAAATTAGAAAAAAGACTAAGTAGAAAAAAAGAAATATAGAAAAAAATCAACAAAAAAAGATAATAAATTTATTTTTAAAAAAAAATCTACTAAAATAAAAAAGAATCAAATTATAAAAGAAAAGAAAAAAAGAAAAAAGGTAAAAAAAAAGAAAAATATATGAAACATGACTCAATTACAAATTTTATAGATAATAAAATAAGGTTATTTACATATGACCTTTCTGGCTAGTTCAGTACAACCTCTGGATCTGAGTACACTCCCAACTGGTGCGACAGACACCTTTGGGCACTCAAAAAAGCAACCAGAGAATGTTGGACCAGAAATTTTAAGTTAAAAATGTATGTAACTTATGTAGAAGAATCTTAATAAAGGTTTACGACAAGGCTGCCAAAGGAAATATATATATATATATAATTTATTTGTAAGCAAGACTATATATTATTTTTATTTTTTAATATCATTTTCACATATGCTACGGGTAATAAGTTTTATTTTCTGATACACAGGTACACATGTTAAGCCCGCTTTATTAAAATCTATTTATCTCTATTACATGCACTAAATATAATTGTTATATATGTGACTAAGCTATTACTCATATTAAGTACATAATAACATTTCAATTTTTTTTATTAATTGCACTTTTGGTTTTTGCTGTCTTCGGAGTCTCGAACGTAGGAGTTGTATTAACTTTGGAAGGAGGCGTATGGTACCCATCCTGTTCATCAGAGTCGTTAAGGAAATTTTCAAGATTAACATCATCTTTTTGGTTTATCAGGTCTAATGTTCGTAGAATAATAGCTTTTGCGCATAATATTTCCTTCAAGACTAAAGCAAGTGGATTGGATTTAGTTAGACGTCCGGAAACTTCATAGAACTTCCAATGTTTGACACGAGAAATATATCCTTTCGGATAATCCATCGTGATTATTTGAATTCTATTGGCTCCATGAAGAATCCCGATAACTTCCAATTTTCTAACAAGTTCTTCTCTTCCATCACATATAGTAATGAGCTGTGCAATCATGTCCTTCATCATTTTATTTAGTTTTAAGGAATCATTCAAGTATTTAGTTCCATTTTGTCCTTCCCATTTACGACCTGCCTCTATAGCACCAAATTCCAGGCGATCCCCACGCAACCTAAAAACCCCATCCCCTTTACGGCCGATTTTTTTTCGGTCATTAATCGTTCTTATAAAATTTTTTCTGTCACTCGAAGCACAGCTCATGGCTTCTCCACGCACTAAATCAATGTTAATATTGTAAAATGTCGGATCGATCAATTTGCTCCAAATATTCATTTCATACCATCCTTCTAACTTCGAAGAATCAAAAGGATTTTCTTCTCGATCCCATAAAAACAGCATACTCCTGTACGCATAATTGATAAAATCGAAATCATGATGAAGACTTTTATCAAATTCATTACCATCTGATATAAACGGATCATAGATGATCTTCCGCAATTCCTTGACACTTCTAACTGTGTATTTTATCATTAATTCTCGAAGAGAGCGTTCGAGGTTTGGATTTTTTTTAACTTCCAAAACAGTAATTTCTTCCCATTCAACATCAGAGAATAAAGATTTAACATCAGCATGAGCATCATTTATTATAAATGAATGTAAGCAAGTTTCTCCAGGCAAATTTCTAGCAAACTGATAGATTACTTCTTCTACCTTTCGTCCGCTTTTAAGCGTCCACATGCAATTTGGATCTAATTTAGTGTACGCTTCTTCAAACTGTGCTAGATCGACTTCAGAAAATGGAGTGTCAGTTTCAAGTTGCGTATCAAGATTTTATGATTCATTATTTCCAATTTCGGAGTAAGCAGACATGTTCCCTACTTCTTTTGTTGATGTCAAAGATGAATTTACTTTGGTAGTATCTGTATGAGATTGTTGAGAAAGAGAAGTCTCAGAGGAAACATTCGTACAGGAATCAGGTGAAATTTCATCAATAGAATTTATTTCGCTATCAGTTTCTTCATTTAATGCTTGAGATTCATTATTAGATGGTTGCATTAAAGAAGTCACAGAAAGGGAATTAGAAGAGGACCCTTCCACTACTGTTCTATTAGTGGTTTGTATCTACAAACGGCTCTGAAATGTGAGAAGAGATTTTTACGGGTTATAGAAAAGCTACAAATACCTTATTTTCCAGAGTTTTGTGTTTGTCAGCTCCTTTATCAAAATTAATGTCATCTTGTCTCTTACGTTTTAATAGTAACCTAGTTTCAGAAGATGAAACTAAACGAACATCTTCTGTTTCTTCATTTACGGCACGTATTGTACTTTCGGCATGTCGTAACTACTTATAATATTAAGTCAGTTTTTGAAACATTTATTAAAATTATAAAACAGCAATTCACTGACCTTTTCAAGTTCGATTCTTTCCTCGTAGTTATTCTGGTAAATCGATAACCAAAACGAATTTACTGATGAAAGCTTTTGATTAGACTCGTCGAAATAAAGTAAATAACAATAGGTTATAATATGCGTTGGAGATTAATCATTTAATATAAAATATACTGTGTTATTTGTGTGATATAAACTGATTGAGCGGAACATGCCATGCCCGTAGCTTGACAACAAACAACCGTAATCATTTGTCGCGACATGTCAATAGGCCGTACCCTCTTCAAGTACACCCGAAAAGCTCGTAGCCATTCCCAAGTCACACGTAGTTATTGGTTATTCGGGTTTGTCAGCACAATCAATTTGCTCTGTACTTGAACCCACTCATCTCACCTATAATTTGGTCTATTTATTGTACTTACAAAAATTCATTGATATACCTCTTTGCTTTTTCGCAATGTTTCTTATTTTCGTGTTTTTTAGCTATATACTCTAGATTTTTGACATAAAAGAAGTGCTCGTCTGCTTTATTTGATCGAAAATCTCCCATAGTCTTGCGATATTCTAAGTAGCCAAGTAAGCTCCAATTTTCATTATTTTGGAAATATTCAGGTGATCTTAATTTTAAATCGGACATGTTTGCGCTTTGTGTATATAGCATAAAAAGTTTTGAGTAGAACCAGTAACATTCGTGTTTTATATCAACGCGATTATAAACATCACATGAATGATTTCTATAGGCTGGCATACCAGTGCAAAAGATCTATGTAAATTTTGACAGGGTGTAGGTAGGGTGTTTGATCGACTAATTGTGACAAAGATATGCTCAAAATCCATCACTAGCCAATCACAGTATAGCATGTATCAACTTTGATTGGTCAATCATTAAATGTATAATTACATATACACTGTAGTGATACAAATCAAAATCGAAATTAATCGATTAGTTGGTTAGTTGACAACTATCAACTGAACTTTTTAGACACCAACTAATCGATTAATCGATTAATTGACTAATCGATTAGTTGCAACTAATCGACTAAAGAATTAATTGATTAGTTGCAAATAATTGATTGAAAAATTATTTATTTACTTAATGAATTAGTTGCAACTAATCGATTAATCGATCAGTTGCAATTAATCGATTAGTTGCAACCAACTGAAAAAATAATGACCAACTAATCGATTGGAAAAATTTTGCCGATTTGTAACACTAATACACTGCATATAACGGCTGACTTCGACCAAATTGTTAATATTGTTTAGGTTATTCAAAGTTAATTATTTGATTAATGTCAATATTTTGGGCTCAAAGATGGAGATAAAAGAAAAATTTAAACAAACATATATATGATAAGAAAGTTTTATATATATTAGAAAGTTTAAGAGTAATTAAAGTCAAAAGTTTTTTGTTTATTCTCAAGAATATTAGATCAAATTTATTAGTTAACCTTAATTATATGATTATGAAACTTATTTTGCATTATGATTGGCTTGTTTAATTTTCAGAATGACAGTTAACCAAGAGAAGAAAATGACATTAATTTAATAATTAACTTTAAATAATCTTACTATAAAATAAATTGTTAAAGAATATAGAATATAAAAATTCTAAAACTATATTTTACATTTTATAATATAATCTAAGAAAAGGTTAAATAATTCAGGAATTAGTAATAAGATATACTTTGTTTTATAAGTCAAGACAATTTAGTAATTATTAAAATAAATTATATTTTAGTTAAAAACTTTTAAAGAGTATAGATTTCATAGTTTAGCAGTTAAGTTTCCATACCTTTCACAGTTAAGATCAATGATTCAAGTCTAGTTGAAGACAAAATTAAAAGATTTTAGTTTCTGTAACCTAATAAGAAGTCTGTAATTAAATATGAAACCCTGTGGTTAAGTTCAAGTGCAATACAATGATAAAAATAAAAATTCTCAGAAGAAGATCCAATTATGAAATACAGATATTATATGTAACAAGCAGTTATTATAGAAGGTTACAGTTATGAAAAGATTGTACATATAAGTTTCTTAGACTAGGGCAACATCAATATTCTTATACCTCATAATATAGATAGTACTAACATTCTTGCACTCAACTTGTAGAATACTTGTTTGGAAAGATAATTAACAGACTATGTAAATAAGTTCTAATTAGGACCCAAAGAAAAGATTTAATTAAAAGAATAGTCTGAAAGTAATCAAGATTGGAATAATAAGAGAAACAATGAATACAAGAACAAGTTATAATAAAAGATTGGTCTAACCAAAATTGAAAGCATCTCTGATATAGCTGAATATTTTAATTATAAAAGAGAAAATCTTGAAGGTTGGTATATAACTTTTTTGTGCAATCTAAAAGTACTAAATCAGGTTTTGGTTATATTTATATGAAAGTCTATAATGAACAAAACTAAGATCAACTAACAAATATGAGATAAGATCTGTAAGATAATATAGCATTACTGAGATTAGTATAACTCTTCAAGCATAACCAAAATTATCCTATAGATATTATTAAATAAGCTAAGAGCTTACAATATATGGTAATATGGTATTATTAAGGTTTAAGGAACTTCTTAGATATAATTAGAATTGTCTTGTTTGTAAGTATAATAAGTTTTAGTCTCTATTATAAAAGAAAGCATCATATTGGAGGTTAAATACAGCATTGAGTTACTGTATAATGTTAAAACCTAAGACATCTGCAAAAATAGCAGCAGCAAATTTGGCTTGAGATACAGATTGGTCAAAAGGACCAATAGTAGCAACAGGTCTGACTTGAGATACAGGTTTATTGCAGATCCTAGATCATTGTTAGAACATCTTAAAGAAATTAATAACAGACATACCAAAAATGAGAGATTATAAAGATTAGATATACTTGAATAGGATCAATTTGGAAGTGATATAATGACAAAAAGGTGAGAAATATAAAGAACAAGGGAATACTAGATATAGTTAGATTAGGAGACAGAAGAAACAAGATCAAATAAAATATAAGTGTAGAACATATGAGTATGATTTACAGAAGACAGTGCTTCTGATATTTAGAATGCTATATTAAGTTCAGTAGGTATTTTTGTTTGTATAGAGTTTTAGATATGCTTTGACTACAAGTGGTTATTAAGGTAACTGCATACAGACATATAGCAGACATATACTTAAATGCCAAAAGAATAACTAGATAAAGTCAGTTATGTAAAATTAAATAATATATAGTACTAGTAATAATTGATTCTAAAATGTAATCATAAATTTGTACTATATCAAATTAAAGCTATTAAACAAACTGGCATTGTTGTTAAAATTAAAAAAAAATGTCTTAAGTTTTTTTTTTAATATAAGAAAGTTTTTTTTTTTTAAAAAAATATTAACAGTGAGGCCATGCCTTTAACTTTATTGAAATTCAATTGAAGTTTTTATAAAGAAAAGTTTGCTTTTAAATTACATATGAAGAAT